CACAGCTCTCTTGAAGCTTTCTTTGCTTTCGAAAACCTGTTCTATGTGGAATGGACTATGTTGTCCAACTAACTCATCATTATCTGCATAATATTGAACTCCTTTTACTTCTTTCTCGGACTCACTATCCTCTYTGTCACTATCATTATCAGATTCATCATCTGAATCATCATACACAACACCAGTACTCTTAAACCCTTCAAGATTTGGGTCATCACTTCTCACGACATAGATGTCTCTTGTTGTCTTTCCACAACCCCTCAAGGTTTCCCATTCCTCAAAATCTTCATCCTTATCCAGTGCCTTCTTATCAATCCTTTCTATCCCAGATGRAAAATATGAAAAGGAATCCATATTTTCAGTATATCCTTCTGAGATAACTACATCAACAAGATTGTTCTTCTTTAACGTTGACCCAAAGTCTACTCTAACTACATGAGTATCTCCACCTAAATACAGCCCACCCATAGTCCAGTATCCACCAGCATGTATTCGTAACTCATACTCCCTGAAAATTTCAGTTACCCAAAATCGAATTTAAAAAAAAGTTAGGGTTCTTTCCCAAAATCGAATTAAACAAAATTTAGGGTTCTTACTCCATCATCGAAGATGACGACGCAGATGAGAATTTGGCCTTCTACGATCGTCCTATTCCTCTCAATCCTCTCAATCGCTCTGCAAATCTGATAAAATCCTCTAAATTCTTCTTCTTTCGTGACGATAAGTTTTCTTTTTGGTTTCATCTGAATTTAYTAACAACCAAAAGACACCGTTTTTATCTCCCGTTAATGAATTAACAGCGTTAGGTTGTAGGGTTTAATTTGCATCAAATAAAAAGGTTAGGGTTTAATTTGCATCTCTTTTTTTGTTGGGGTTTTTTCATCGGAAAAAAGATTCTTTGGGGTTTTTTTTGCATTTTTCCCCTGGTTCATGTGTATATCAGAATCCTCATTCCCTCATATGCTTTTTACACCATCTCGCTTGTGTTTAAGAACTTTACTATTTGGACACGCCCGGTATGTCACTTAGTAAATTTGTATGCGCGATCCTATCATCTTTCTGTCCATCACGGCTGCTAAGTTAGCCTACGTTTGAATCAAACTTTTGATTTTTAATATTTAAAGAGATGAATCCAATGGAATGGTCGTTATTTCAACCGAAACTAGTATTTCTGATTATTTTGAGAGTTTATTTTGAATGTTTTAGTCAATGTTTTGAAA